CATCACCAAAACTAATTCCCTTATTACTCATCCATGATAAAAATTTTAAAACTATTTCTGAATGGACACTTTACCCAGCCCCCCAGGCTACCACTATACACAATAGTAAAGTAAGATTTATAAGAACCCACTTTCAGAAAGTTCAATCAAGGCAACAGTAGATATAAGAAAAGACACCTATAGATAATAAGCAAGAATGTTAAGACACAAGGACTTCATGATGGTGATGCACAATAATTACTGGTTTTCAGTAAAGATAACAAAGATAACATTGGTTCTATCATCTATGTGTTATCTAATGAGCATCCTAAATGATAACAAACGTTCTTCAGTAATCAAGTAAAGACTCTTGTTAAACATTTTACTCACTTTGCTTGAAGTCCATGTAGGACTGTGAACAACAAACTCATCAATCTGAGGATCAAATGTTGTAGTGCTTTCAAGGCCTTGTACATTAGAACCATGACCGAGTTCAGTTTGTGCATAGCAGCCAATAATTTGCAACTTATGTGCCAATGGCAACCATTTCTACTGTTGTTCTTCAGTGCCTTGCCCATTTATAGCAGGTACAAACATTCCCTACAGATATGGTTGAAAACAATAAAAGGTGAAAATGATGAAAAATAAGCTCATATTTTGCAATCTGTGAAACACAAAAGAAGATGCTGTTATTCCCATAGTGGTGTGTGTGTAAATTAAATCTATAAATTTAATAAACAATAAAATAAAATAATTCAAAAAATAATTATATAAATTATTTCCCGAATTAAATGCTTACATAAAATAATGTTGAGACTTATGTTGGACACAATCTCCTTAAAGTAGATTTCGCCCTCGCTCCGGTACTTCAAGTTTTAATCACTGTCTACTTCCCAAGATGCAATGACTAGCACTTGATTTTACAGCACTATAAAATCAAGTCTAGCGAACCAAAACTCTATTGTAACTCTCTCTTTTTTTTCCTAAAAAATAAATGCAGAAACAGATGCAAGAACACAGGAAGAACAAAAAAAGAAGGACGAAATTCTGAGGGAAAAATTGAATGAAATGAATTGTTGGAAGTAGGCTTTATATAGGCAGAATGGTGGCTATTCCGAATAGATTGAACAGATGCTAGACAGATTTGAATCTGTTTGGACAGATTCAGTTTGAGTTAAACCTGTTTTGAACCCTTTGAACTTGTTCGGGTGGGTCTGAACCCGTTAGGGTTTTATTTGGGTGAAAGAAAAAATTATGGACTAATTTATTTTGAATTTTCAAAACAAAATAAAAAATAAATAAATAAATTACAAATATTTTTTGCCCAAAAAGATAAATATTGGGTCAGACAAGCCCAACCCAACCTCACACCATGCACCCGCGCCCAAGCCCAGGCCCAACCCAACCCAACCCAGCTTGCCCGACCAACCAGACAGACGGTGGCGGCGACAACACGCACGTGTGGTTTTTGTTTTAGGTCCAATAGGTCTAGCCCACTACACCCATAACCTCACCCTTTCACAAACTTGGGTACTCCTTGGGGCCCATCCCAAGTATCTTAAGTTAAGGTATATAAACTCATTCAAACCCTTAAGCCTTTTCAATGTGGGACAAGCACATTTCACAAATGTGTAGGAAACCTACCTAAATACATTTTCATGAACCCAAAAATACGCGTTGAATTCTCATTCATCCAGAAATGGTTTTTAGCAACCAAATGCATAGTTTTATTCTCTACGTGGCATTAAACATGAACCCAATTAGAAACATTAAAATAATGCATGGGTCCCACCTTAATTAATGCTCAAAGTGAAGGGTGTGTCCTTTTGAAAGGTCACAATCTTTTTAAAGAGTTATGGAGGAATCTATAAATTTCATTTCCCTCACTTCAATTTGGAGAAAGAATTGCCATTTTCTTCTTCATCTTTGCATTTATTCTTCATATCTCGTGAGTCTAATTTTTCTATAAAGAGAGTACATGCATAGCGAAGTTCGCTAAGCTTGCAATAGTAGTGCTGCTAGTGCAAGATATTGATCGTTGTATCCTAGGAGATAGACATCCATTGAATCCTGAGCATCGGTGGGAGGACGAATCTATCTTAGGGAAACAGGTGTCACACACTCGACTCGATCAGGTTTTATCTATTTATGTACTATAAGTTTTGTTACATTATTATTTTATTTTATTTCAGTTTTTGTTTTGTCCAAAAACTATTTACATATTTTTGAATTATATTTTTCATATAGTTTGGTACTATTTTTTCTAGTAGTTAGATTTTGGGAAGCTAACCTTGGTTGGAGGATATGAGTAATTAGTTTGAAAATTACTCAATCTAGATGTCATAATATAAGAGAGTTGTTTGTATACACTGGGATATGGCCATGACCCTTGTTTGTATATATCTGGTACACACCTTGTGACAAATATTGGCTCTGGTTGAGCAAAGACATCTTGTCCATATTTTAGTGTTCAACATATATCTTCTGTACTTTACACACATGCTCTGCATTACTTGTGTTATTCATCTAAATTCAACTGAGTTAGTTATCTAATTTTTCCTTCTTCATAAGCTAAATTACTTGTTAAATAGATTAAACCATATTCTATTTAAACAAAAATCAAGTCTACATTTTTGATTAGTTACCTCACTAGTTTTTGTTACAGATTGATGATGTTGGCATGGATACAGAGTGATGTTTTTGGGCTAGATTGTAGCACTTGTGTCCTTCAAAGTTTTTAGGAAGTGTATTTGAATCTTTTATTTTATTTTGGGAATCTTTAGTGCTGTTTTATCTTAGTTTTTGGAGAAGTACAAATGGATTTAAACTTGTTGGGATTGCTCGTTTACGCTTGGTTACGTAGAAAAGTTGTTTGAGAACTTAAAAATCTTGTTCTGGGGTCGACACTAGTCTTGAAAGGGTCGACCCTTTATTTCTGAAATTTGCTTGCTGGAAATTGGGGTAGACACCAGTCTGGGAAGGGTCGACCCTTTGCATGCTGTCAAACATAAATTTGTTCACAGGGTCGACCCCTATGTTGCAAGGGTCGACCCCTGCAGACTTTTTTTTTCTAGATTTCAGTCTGGTTTTGGGCTTACTTTTTGGGGATTTTGACTTGATCTTTTGGGTTGACTTTGAGACTTTATTTTACTTTGACCTAGCACTATAAATAGGTCCCTCACTTAACCTTTTCTTTACTTTTTCTACTCTTTTTCCCTCTCCAAGCCGTGAGTCACTCTCTTCCTCTCCAAAATCACTTTTTGCTCAAAGATTTTTAGATGTACTCACTTGGAAGCATCTTCTTGCCTTGCTCCTTTGAGATTAAGTGTAGAGCTTATCAAGAGCATCATTTTGATCCAAGTAAAAGTTGGTTTCGAGAACTTTGGAGTTTCAACCTTGTTTTACTCATCTTCTCTTCTAAGCTTGAGGCAGGGATTTTCTTTGAGTTATATATATGTTTTTGCAAGATCTAGATGATTTTCGAAATCATCCTTTCACTACAAGAATTAACACTTTTGCCGACCAAAAAATTGGTCGCTAAAAGACCATTTTTGGTCGGCAAAAGTTATCCGCGACCAAATTTTTTGGTCGCTACTTTAGTCGCCAATTGAGGGTCGGCAAAAGTAATTCGCGACCAAAATTTTGGTTGGTCGGGAAAAGTTGGATTTGCCGACTAAATTTTTGGTCGCTAAATATTTAATTACTGCGACTAATCCATTTTGTCGCTAAAACACTTTGGTCGCGAAAAATAATATTTTGCCGACCAAATATCTTAGTCGCCAATTGTCACATTTCGCGACCAAAAAGTTTGGTCGCCAATTATCACATTTCGCGACCAAAAAGTTTGGTCGCCAATTGTCAAGGAATCGCCGACTAACAATTTAGTCGCCAAAAGGTAAGGAATTGCCGACCAATGATTTTAGTTGCAAAAGTGTAGAATTTGCCGACCAATTTTTTAGTCGCCAAATCTCTCTATTTTTATTTTTATTTTTAGAATATTCAATTTTTGTTTTTAAACATTCAATCCAATATCAAACAAAATTCATTCAACCTAACCACAATTAAGGAACAATAACATTTAAAAAATTCATATTTGCTCACAATTTCGGTACCACAATTAAGGAACAAAATTCATGACACACAGCCAAAGAATTTAACTAAGAATAAAACTTGAGAATTTATATTTGTATACAAGAGCAATAGTACGCACAATCTGTGATTTGGCAAAAACAATCACTAAAAATTCAATCTCAAACTACACTTTGCTCTCACCAAAAATTATAAGAACAAAGAAATCAAAGAAAATAACAAGGTATGAGGCTATTGGAACAGTTCTTTAGCTCTTCCTGTAGTATGCTCATACCACAATGACATCCTATTGCAATTTCATCCAATCTGGACGGGCATACTTAGGATTCAAGCCCAACAACTTGCAGTCTTCATCACTTTTACGCTTCAGGACATTGAAAACCTGTAAAAATGTCATTTAATGCTCGCTTTGTAAGTCTTGATCAGCTAGAAATTGACAAGAACAAAACATAGAAAATACATAGCTAGAAACATTTCTTCATTGAAAATTTAATGTGCAATTCAAAATTATTGTAAGAAATTGAAAATCAATCAAGGGTATGTCCATTTGCATAGAAAATAATGAGTTGTGGTACTATGTGATCTATTTATTTATGAAATTTGAAATCAAAATGCAAGTTACTATGTGATGAGACTAGCATAATTAGGCTTCCAATTCATTACTAATCACATGTTTATTATGTAATGTTTTTGTTAAAATCATTGAAAATCCACTGGTCTTACATTGGCCTTTTGATGCAATTCAAAAATAGATTTTCACAATACTAAAGTTGAGTTCAAAATTTGGTGTTAGTCTGTACAATTCACAATTTCTATGTTTCTTGGAAGGCAGACTTTCCTGTAATTGGAACATTAATCAGAATAGTTGATACTATCTATACATAAATACAGCAACTTGTGAAGACATTCCAATTCTCCTCTATTACTTTTTCAACTAAATGGTAAAGCAGGCATAGCAAAGTCTACGAAAAAACTCTAAAAAAGGGGGTGAAACTGTAGTTCACATGCATATTCACTTGTGCATAATTCAACAACTACAATTAATAATCACCAACTTAATAGTAACTTGCATAGATAGAGTTTGAACAATTTTCGTGTACAGGGGCACTCTATGGGAATCATACCTACAGTTTAAATCACCCATATTGAGAGCAAAGCTATTGCTAATCCTATTTAGTTGCTTCCAAGTGCCAATTTTGGCACTGTTTGGACAAAGCCATCTGAAAAACATTTATTTCAAAGCAGCAACAACTCCTTTCAGAAAACATTTACCTAACATATCTTATTAGCTTATGTGCTTTTGCTTATTTTATTGCCTTTGTAGTTATTGTAAGACCATAATACCATTTGATATTGACAAAAATAAAAAAACACACATTACATCATCAGATGTTAAACTGTAATGAGTTTTGGGGGAAGGTCTACCCCAGAACTACTATCATATATTTACCAGAAATACTTGTTTGCATCCATTGGCCAATGGAACGAGGGTAGCAGGTTCCACCTGTTAATAACAGAGATCAAAAGTTAAAATGACATTTAGAATGCCAATGATTCATGGCAAAGGAAAAAAAAATGCATTACAGTAAATTACAATTGCTACTCTTAAACACATCCACATACAGCTGAATATACCCCACCCCAATCAAACACTTCCCATCCAACAAACATTTGCATATAGAGGGGTGCATTGTGCTTAAGTTATGTTGTACCTTTGTAGAAACTACAGAGCCCATTTTTATTCTTAATAGTAAATATTATGATCAAGGATTATTCCCTCAAGAACGTCAAGACTCACTGCAGAGAAAATGGTGCAGACTCAAGCACATAAAATCCATACTCACTAAAGAGGTGGAAATTAAAGAACATAAAATATTACTTTCTTTCAAAAAATAAAACAATTCAACAAAATATGACAACACCAGTGAATCATAATCATAAGGTTACTAAAATAGAAAATCTATGTGATTTTATTTTTCAAGTGGTAGGGATCACCCTTCAAATTAACCTAAGTAACACATTGATTTTTATTAAATTAACTAGAAAAACTATTCAAAAGAATGAAGGATTTTAAATCGCCATAGAATCAATTAATTTTAAACAAAATAAAAAGATACATACCAGGCGAAACAGGCAGAGTACTGGGAGCAAAAGGGGGAGAGGGGACTGCATATAAAAATAGAAAATCCAATAACCCATCATCATTATAATAAATAAATAAATAAATAAATAAAAACTATATGTATGTGTACATTTACTCGCAATTCTCAAGACAATGACCAAACAAATCATCGTAATGCAAAGGAGGTTTTTAAATCGCTCCTCAAACTTTTGAATCAATGAATTCAAAACGACAGAAAAATTAGAAACATGGGTTTGGCGAGCTCGAGGTGCCCAAAATGGCCAGGACACTCAGCCATGTTGGCCATACAGGTCTCACACTTCATCTTTCGGTCAATAGTACCCAACTGAGGGTCGCTGAGGCCACCGGGCTTCGGCTTCCCTCGCTCCATCGTCTCACTGTGCTCGATTTGCACCACTGACATTTGCCTCTGCCAGAAATAAACACAACATCAAGAAATTAAAACCCCTTTAAAACCCTAACAGCCAAAGAGATGAAGATGAATGGGTCTTTCTTTCGTTTTTTGGCAAATTCTCAATAAAAATACATGGAAAACATAAATTGATTGAAGATTGAAGAAAAAGATTACGATCTCATCAGGGCCAAGGATGCCAAACTGGACCATCCGGACATTAATTGAAGATTGAAGAAAAATATTACTTTTTTTTTTGCAAAATGACCTTATCATTCTGTGCAACAACACAATGCACTCCCAAATTTCCTCAATAAGAACAAAATAACAGTGATTAAACAGACTGTTACCATTAAAATGCCTGGAAACACTAGGCTTGGAACCAACCCATCATGAATAATGAAACAGATCACCAAACATTGGCTGGCTTCTAAAACCTTAGCTTAAAAACCTCAAACCATAGAATACAATATATATATATAATGACACTTGCAAAGCAGTCTTCACTGGCCAGCCAATTAGGCAAGCCATTATAGTTCTTCAAATTTGATTCTGAATCTCTTTGTATTGGCTCCAAGTTCAATGAATATCAAAAGATAATAATCATGTCCAACCATCACCAAAAGTCATACATTGCCCAAGTACTGTTCTTACACGAAGCTGAAAAGAATCATATAATTTCAGCTAATGAGTTGAAGATGTAAAAAACCGTTTGAAATAAGATAAGTAAAAATCACCACCTTTACATCGAGGCAAGGATCATTGACCATATCCTTTAATTGAGAAGTTATGCAGGCATTCTGTAATTTTGCAACCCGACTATGTGCACCGGGACTACTTGGAAAGGTGAGATTTACGACAGTCCAGACACAAGCTGTGCGTAACCTGCTGTCATTACTCTGCAAAAGCTTGATCATAATTGATTGGATGTTGTCACCTATTTGTGGGAAAAGTTGGTCAATGACTGCTTTCTTGTGGAATTCATTCCCAGATGCCACATTACTGAGCACGTACATACCCTATATCAGAAAGTTTTCAAGATCTATCAAAAGCAAAACAATCGCATAATCCCTATTCCAGGCATGTTGTAGATATGTCATATAATGGCAAACAAGACGATTTCTCCAATTTCTGCTGACTACCATTTCCGGATGAGTTGGAAATTTGAACCAGTTTCATGCAAAATTCAACTGAATTAAACATCAATTGAAGTCATAAATCAGAATAAACATTAAAGAGTTCTTCGTTTTAAATTAGTGCAACTTTGCAGCTACCTTTTGATCTACTCTAATACAAGTTCACCATTCAAAAAAGGTGCATTTAATTCTTATTAAAAGTCTATGTTGCAGACGTTATAGATGCATATAAATGTCAACCAAAATTAAGTACAACACAAACACCATTATTATTGGCTGAGAAAATTGAACGAAGCAACTATAAATGGAAAAAGAGAAGTAAACCTTTTCTATGCTGCAGGCATTATAGATGCATATAAATGTCGACCAACATTAAGTACAACACCAGCACCATTATTATTGGCTGAGAAATTGAATGAATCAACTATAAATGGAAAAAGAGAAGTAACCCTTTAGTTCACTGAATGTGCTTGCAGCAGTAAAACGCACAGAACCAAACTCAACTGAAACTACTTAAATAGCTAGACAACTTACCGCAAGTGCCTTCGCTGAAACACCTTCTGTCAAAATCAAGGTACATTTATCAGAGCTCTTTCACTTGGCATATTTACGACACGTAGTACAAAGTTTCTTCACTTCTTCTACGTAGGATCTAATTGGGTCTTATAGTGGGCCTGTTCAAATTTCAACAAATTAGGATGTGTTTGAGTGAGGATTGGATCCGGAGTTTAAAAAAATGCATGAGAATAAAGCCTCTCATGAAAGGCCCCAATTTCAAAATTTAAAAGAATACAGGTTGCAGGGTCTGTTGAACTGCACTAACAGACAAAGAAGCCAGATATGAGAATTAGACATGGACGCGGCACAACACGGACATGCCCACATGACAATTTATTCCAAAAAAAAAATGAACACGATATGACAAGGGCACAAAAACAAATTAAAATATTTTTACATATTCATGAAAATAATAACAATTTCTTCATTTTCCATATCTATCTACTGAAAAAGAAGTGTTACCAAAAAATCCTAATATCTATTTTACAAAGCCCAGTTCATAAGAAAATTCATATAAAAGGTGGCAAAGAACATATACTAGCTGTTTTCTCTTTTCCTTTTCCTGTTCCTTTTCCTTCTGATATTCTTTCCTTTTCTTGATAAAAATGTTATACACGGGCTTGACTCACTGAATTTTCATATAGACAGACAAAGGCAATGAGTCTACATGTATAAGTAATGATGATAATGATGATGACAGATATAATGATAAGAACTTAAAAGACAAGTGGGCTATCCGTTAAAGAACTTACAACAGTTCAATAGCACAGTCAGCAGTGTTTTCACAGTTACTGGTAAATGGAGTTGGCCTACTAATGTGTGTGTGCACACGCATGTAGACAGTCCTCCTTGAATTGGATGAGAACACAAAAATATAATTATTAAAACCCTAATTCTCAATCAATTACTCTGTCAAATAATTAAAAGATGAGCTTTTCTGACTTTTTCTTTTTGGAATAGGAGTGAATAAAGTAGTTTTTGCTAACTCTATCCTGCTAAGTAATTTAATCAATTAGAATAGGAGCATTAGAGTTGAAAAGACATTCTTCTATAGATCACAAGGTATTATGAAAATGTACAATACAATCAAGTATATCACAATGTCGAATTTAGATGACTAATTCAAAGCCAAACTAAAATGTAAACATGAGCTTTATTTAAAGTAGCATCCAAATAGTGCAAAGTGAGGCTCCTGTTCAGAAACACTAAGGACAACAAGCACACCCCTGTACAATCTCAGCCTTCTTCACTACCAGTAATATTTGCTGCAACAAAAAAACAAATTAATTATGATAATTTTGAAGGTGAGTTCTATTGGTACTTCATCTAGCATAAAGCATGCACACACAAACTGAAGTGCACACAAGCTAAAAGGTGAGCATTAACAAAGCTTCCATCGAGATAAAGTTAATTGGTTCTTAGATCGCTCTTCAAAAGTAGTCCGTGCTTTCTGAATATAAGAGAAATATGTGAAACCATTTTTAAACAAACAATAAACTGTGAAATCACTGTTCACTGGTACTGAAGGTCTAAAATGTTTGTTTGATGGTTCTCAATAGTAAACTCAACTAAACAAGCCTTTATATTTCACTTCTATGTCAAAACAGTGTTACCAAATTCATACTCTCACCATAGCCAAATTCATATAACAATTATATAGTACATATATATATATATATATAGAGAGAGAGAGAGAGAGAGGTGGGAGAAACAGGGGTAAAAGGGAAAAGAGGGCTGATGGTGGTTGTTCATGGTGGAGAGACCATATGACTACTATCATTGATACATACAAACACTCTATTGCGTGTGTGTATATATATATAGCTGTAGAATTCATCAATACCTGGTAAGGAGAGGCCAAACACACAAGCACACACTATATGTGTACCTGGTAAGGATAGACCAAACACACAAGCGCACACACACACACACACACACTATATATATATATAGAGAGAGAGAGAGAGAGAGAATAAGAACACCATGCCACCAATACCACTTAAAAATCGGAATGTTTTTTGAAAAACGAGATGGTGAGGTTGGACAATTAAGGGGCAAAGATCTGAGAAGTTGAAAATTATAGTTAGGGTTTAAAATTGGGGAAACGAGAGAGAGAGAGAGCGTGTTTATCTGATGCAAGAGGTCTGAGAGAGGATTAGCAATGGTAGAGTGTAGGCGGCTCGACACACTACCACCGAACATCCTTCCTCTCTCCGCCAAACCCATTGCTGCTCTGTCGCTGCTCCTGTTTCGTTTCGTGTTAGCGCCTTCTTCGTGTTTGCTCTCTGCTTTAAAGCCATTTCGCCGCCGACCTTACAGTGGGGAAACAGAGTGACACGACCATGGTGTGAGACATTTTTGGTGGTAGTGATTTTGAATGGTGGCCTAGGGTTTGTGTTTATGCGAATGTCAAAGAGAAAGAGAAATAGACAGAGAGCAAAGAGAGAAACAGAGAAGGGCAACGGTGAGAGAGAGGGAGAGGGAGAGCAAGCGAATATTTTTATTTGTTTACGTCTTCTGCGTTTCAAATTTCCCTCCTAAATTTTTGGCGACGAAAAGACCATATTAGTCGCAAAAAATGTACCTTCGCCGATAAATTTTTTTGGTCGCCAAATCTCAATCAACGGCGATTGAAATATTAGTCGCTAAAAGTACTAATTTGGCGACTAATTTTTTTTGGTTGCTGAAAAAAAGTTTTTGGCGACCAAATTTTTGGTCACCAAAAAATGTGACCTTCTGCGACCAAATTTGTAGTTGGTCGGCAAAAACATAGCACTTTCTGCGACTAACTCATTTTTTGGTCGTCAAAATATAACCTTCTGCGACCAATAATATTTGGTCGCCAAAAATAATGATCATTCACGACTAATTAATATTTGGTCGCAAAATGTCATTTTTTTGCGACCAAAATTATTTTGGTCGGCAAAAGTGGTCGGCAAATGTGTAAATCCTTGTAGTGTTTGGTTAATTTTGCTTTGAAAATTGATTGTTGATTCAAGAAGATGAGTGATTTTGAGAATGGGTTTACTTCCTTTTCCTTTAAAACTAGAAATTGAGGGTTTTTAAACTATGTTGATGAAAGAAAGATGTTTTTGGTGATATCTTCTCAAATATTTGAAGATGAATGATTTTTGGTGAGAAAACCTAGAAATTGGCGATTTTTAAGAAAGATGTTAAAAATCTTTAGAATATGTTGTTACATTTATTTTGTGTGCCAAAATAAATGATGTTTGAAAATTGTTTATTTATTACATATAAATGATGGTTTTTCATGGAATAAGGGAATTGTTGAAGTTATGCAATATTGTGTGGGAGTATTGAAAGTGAAAGAAATATTGCATTATATTATTAATTATTGCATCGACATATCAATTCATTTGATAATGAAGAGCTTTGAAATTTGATTTTAAAACTTTGCATTTAGGAAAGAATGTTGAGAAATAAGTTTTCATGAAATGGTTTTGGGGTAAATACGGTGGTAAGTCTTGAAAGGTGGTGTAGATTATAGGTGACGAGCTTTCCAGTTAATACTGGTAAAAATGACAGATTAGAGGTGTCGAGCCTTCTGGTTAATACTGGTAAAAATGACAAATTGGTAGTTCTTGTATAGTCTACTTGCAGACACCGACCTACAGATTTACGGAGTTGTATTTACCGTCCCTTGAATAAAATTTGATAAATGTTGAGCAGTTGCAATTGCATGACATCATTGAGCATGATGGTTTTCAAAGGATGAAGGTGTGTTTTACTTTCAAAAAGGCATGGCATGGCATAAGCATTCCATCTCACGAGACTTGTATAAAATGTATATACTTTGCTAAGAATTTCCTACTTGGCTTTATGCTCACCCTACGGGATTTTTGTGTAGGAAAAGATGCAGTGATTCCGCCTAACTGGAGACGTAGACGTGTGTATGTTGGGAGTACAATGCTCTCATTTTGCATGACTCTTTTTTGCAAGCCAAGGGTTATATTTGTGTGGGTTTGAATAACCATTTTATGTAACCGGGCTTAAGCCTTGGAAACTTGTAAACCCTTGGGGGTATTTATTTGTTTATTTACTTGTTGCTGGATTAATGTATTGTTGCATGAAGAACTATTGCATCATGTAATGTAAGTTTGGAGATTTATATTCGGTTTTCCTTGAAAGAGCCATGATTGTTGTATTATCATTTGGGTTAGAAATTTGGGGCGTTATAACTTGGTATCGGGATTTTTGTGTAAGAAAAGATGTGGTGATTCCGCCTAACTGGAGGCGTGGACGTGTGTATGTTGGGAGTACAATGCTCTCATTTTGTGTGACTCTTTTTTGTAAGCCAAGGGTTATATTTGCGTGGGTTTGAATAACCGTTTTGTGTAACCGGGCTTAAGCCTTGGAAACTTGTAAACCCTTGTGGGTATTTGTTTGTTTATTTACTTGTTGCTGGATTAATGTATTGTTGCATGAAGAACTATTGCATCATGTAATGTAAGTTTGGAGATTTATATTCGGTTTTCCTTGAAAGAGTCTTGATTGTTGTATTATCATCTGGGCTAAAAATTTGGGGCGCTACACAGATTGATGATGTTTGCATGGGCGCAATTTAAATTATATTTTTGTTTATGGAAAACATGTACACCTGATATGTTTTGTTATTAAGATTTTTTTTTTTAATTTGGATTTTAATTGTTGGTTTGGATAGTATATATATTTGTTGGATTATACTATGTTTATAGATTCTTATTTTCCTTGATATGTATGGTTAATAGTTAAGTTTTGTATATGGCTGAAAATTGAATGCTATAGGTTGTAGAGAAATATTTTTATTAAATGGTTGAGAATTAAATGAATGAATGGATGGATGGATGAATAATTTTGTATATGCACAGTTTACAGGTGGCGAAAAAATTTTACAGAACAAATTATAAAAACTAAATGAGAATTTTTGGCGACTAAACAAATATCACAGGTTGGCTTTTGACTGCTAAAATTTTAGTCGCCAATTGTCAAAAAGTGAAACTTTTGGCTACTAAATTTTTAGTCGCCAATTGTAAAAGAGTGAAACCTTTGGCTACCAAATAGTTAGTCGCCAAGCATACATGCTCAATTAGCTACTAAATAATTTAGTAACTAAAAGTTAAAAATATATATATTTAATTATTTTTAAAAAATATATGGCGACTAAACTTTTAGTCGCCGATAGGTCACTTTTGGCTACCAAAAAAATTTTAATCGCCGATTGTCTTCCTCGACGAACTATTGGCAACCAACCTGGTGATCAAATATATTAGTTGCCAAAAGTAATTGGCGACCAAAATAAGGCTTTTGGCGACTAAAATTTTAGACGCCAAAAGTGAAATTTCTTGTAGTGCTGGTCTAACGAAAATAAGTTACTTGTATGGTCCAAAGCTTATCTGATACATGTATGTCAGACCAACTTGACAAGTTGGCAAATTGCATTGCAAGGTGTTATTTTATTACCTTAATTCTATTTCCATGTAGGCATTGGGTGGACCCACCTCACATGGGTTATTTTTTATCCCTCCACAAGTATCAATTAAAAAGTAAATAAATTGTAATAAAAATCACTTAAACATCATTTTTTTTTGTGTGTGCATTTTCTACTTGTAAAATTCTTAATCTAGTTCGTAATCAGCTTTAATTTGAAAAGAGTAATTGTAAGTAGTATTGTCACTTGTATTCTATACGTAATCTATATATTTAGAAAATAATCATTCAACAATTTCAAACAATTCACCATATTAATAATTTTTTTTTTATTTTTTCAATTAAAAACAACCGTCTATTAATTTTAAATGATTTACCACATCAACCATTTGGATTTTCTAGTTGATGATATCATTGCTCTGGCTACTTAGTGGTTTCAATTCAAATTTTACGTTATTTTCAGAGTATTTTGGAAACATAGTAAAAAGTCAGTTTTTTAATTTTTTGGCTTTTTTGGTCATATCACCTCTTTACTTTTTTCATTTGATGACTTTCAGCTTCACATTGCTCAAGAAAGGAAGCTTAAAACCAAGAAGAAGCACCTGTGATGTTCTATTTCCAGCTCCTTTTGTATGCTTGCTCAGTTGGCATCTTGCTTTCTGAGCTCATTTTTTCGTTCTTTCTTGCGTTGGGTATGCACATGATCGTGTTGGTCTGAAGGTGCGAATCTGGTTGAGATGTTCGTTATAGTTCTGATGACTTCTGCTCAATGTTTATTGATGTATCCTTCCTTCTATGTTTATCAATAAATTCTTTCTTTACTGATCAAAAACAAAAAAAGAAATTAATTTTAAATCATAACTGAATTTTATTATGATGTTTTAAATTCTAGTGATTTTTTTTTATAAGCTAATATAATAGTTAACAAAATTTTGGAACTTTTTTTGGTTAATTTTCCAGAGCCCAAAGTAACGGCTTCCCCGGCTTATGCCCAAAGTCGGTCCTACCATCACCGTTAACACTGCACCTGCAAGCCTCACCTCACACTACCTTTCTCCTCTTCTCTTGTTGTCACTGTCACTCACCTAACATTGCTGTCCTCTTTCTTTGTTGCTATCACCGGTGACTTCAGATCTGATCATTTCTAACATCGATTTTCGCCGAGGACTTTAGATCTGACCGTTTCCAAAGCTAATTTATTATTTTAGATGTTGATTTGATACCGTTGCTCTTGTTATTGTCAAGATGTAGCCATGGCACGATTGTTGGAGCTCGTGCCAATGAAATTGGTCTCTTTGTGCATGTATATGTGTACATATAGTGATAGATTTCTATCAACCTATTAGTAAAAATCTAGTTAAACTTGTTATTTATAAAATCTGAATAAATCAATTTAAAGTGATAAATTTTATTAGTCTTACTCATTTTTTTTTGTGTAAATATGTGAGTATATTTTTGTAAATGAATAAGTGAGTGAGAGAGAGTAATTAATTAAGTGAT